ATGGCCGATGATCGAAGGCAGGGGGAGTGGGAGTATCGATTGAATAAGTAATCGCTGATGGGAAAAGGAAAGTGAAGCCATAAAGTGGAAGGGAATGGTTTAATCGAGCAATCAATGGGGATCGAAAAGAGAATATTTTGCAATTGGAGGGCGGGTTATTATGTTAAAAATATATTTTAAAACATTATATATACAGTAAGAAGTCTTTGTAGATAACTATCTAAGTTAAAATTCAGTGTTAAATTATGCTAAACATTTCGCCATCTTTATACACATTTTCCCTCCTACAAACCCAGTTTCTTTTTCAAAATTTAATGGAAAATTTTGTTGCATGTGTCAATTCCGAAAAAAGGGTTCCTAAGTCTGCAGTCTCGGGGGGAGATCTGCTTCTTTTTTATTTACCCACGCTCATTTATCGCTTAGAATAACAATCATTAACATAAGAACAGAGTCACTTCCTTGGAACGTTAGCAACTTCTCTCTCTCTCTCTCTCTCTCCCTCTCTTTCTCTGGCCTTTCACGTGTGAGCGCTAAAGAAATTAAAATTGAAAATTCCTTTATTTCAATATTTTGACAGTGACTTGGCAGCGCCTCGTTAAGAAAAAACAAAATAAACTCCAATTCGAGATCGGGGGCCCCGAGAAATGGTCAGTCGACCACGAAACGAAACACTTTTCAGTTGTCTTTGCAACGACCCTTTCCGCCCTCCACTTTCAGGGGTTTCTCTCTGTGGTCTCCGATCTCTTCAGGCCGCCGTTCTGGCCATGGTCATAAAATGTGCCAAGTGCCAAGTGACCGCGTTGAGTGCCTGAACTTGTTACAGTTTCTTTCACTCTAGACTTTCTTTGCACAACAATTCTGTTCTCTCTGATGAGGTATGTGCTTTCGTTTGGAATCCAAATCGATATCTGTAGACTGAAACCATTATTGGCCATTGGCTCTGAGTAGAGGAAGGCGACAATTGCCATGCGCCAATGCAAATTGGCGATAAGTGCACTTGACTCTCATATAAATTAATATTAATTATGCCACTGATTAGCCAAGCTCACATTCCAGTCGGACAAATAAGCCCACTAACGCGATATATATATGCATATATGCCCGGCTACTGAATCCAGTTCGATCGGGCCTGCCTGGCGAATATATTTCGGTGTAAATCATTTGAATGCTTCGAAGGCGCCGATTGAGTTAACGTGTTTGAATAAAAGCTAATGGAGTTGTTCAGGGGTTTAGCGAATGTTGAATACACTTTATAATATTTTTCATTATTTGATAAGCAGTATAAGATATAATATCCCAAAACAAAAAAATATTCTTTTGAATACCATTTATTCAAAATGAAAAGTAATAGTTTTATCAAGCTCCATGTTGCCCTGCCCAACACTTGAGATACACTTCGTCTTAGCTCTCCCCGCTGACTGTGCAATTTGGCTTGTAACTTTGCTTGTCCGACTAAATGCCTTTGAGTCTGTATCCAAATCGAAATCCGAATTCAAATCTAAATCCCCATTCGCAGGCAAAGCCGAGGCCAAGCTGTCCGTCTTTGGATGCAGTTCGCATTCATTCAATTGCATTTGACAGGCGTTTGGCCATAAAAATTATGCCACAACAGCTAACAGCTTGGACTGCGAATTAGCATTTGCATTTGCTGAACACATTGGACATTGGCTCAAATTTATGACAACTTATCGGCCGGCATTCGACCAGATCGAGATGCAAATCGAGAGTACAGATGCTGGGATCCGAGAGGCAGACGCTCGTGGGCGATGCTGGCGACATTTCGCTTTCGTTCGCCATTAGAATATGGAAATGGAAAAGTGCTCTTAGTGTAAAAATAGATCGGGCTGGAAATGTGGCGCCGTTAGCGAGATCTATGTCTGACCCGTCGTCTCCACGACTGCACGAGTTCGGTTTCGCTTACAGAAAATAATATTATATACATATATAAAACTGGGAACTGGGGAAAACAATAGGAAGAGTTTCCCTTGGGCCAGACAGCCAGAAATTTGTCAAAGTCGATTTCAAAGAAGTTTGTCAAAAGCGGATGCAAGTGAAATCGATACCAACCAGCGCGTCTTTGTTAGGCCACACGAAAATAATAATAAAAATGAATTATTACAATGGTTAGAGGACGGCATACGGATGGGAAGGTGTGAAAAGGTCGTCGTGCCATTTGGAGAATGGCTTTGGATGCAAACTGGAGCTTAGGGAAAGGTAGGAGGACAGGCTGCATCTCAGACGATTGCCCGACTTTTCAGATATCCGATGGCGATGGCGATGCCGATGCCGGCTTAGTTTTAACAGCTCGTTAACCTGAAACCTCTTGATGGAAGGCAAAGCTTCGATTGCGAATCTGCGGGGCCATAAAATCTCAAACTATTAGAGTACTAATTATTTTTATTGAACATATTGGAATTTATGTGGTTGTTAAACCTGGTTATTGCTCATGTCTCTTTGTTAATAAATTGTGTTTATTGGGTTTTTTCCTTTAATTTAATGAGAAATAATTGTTGTTAACTAAACCATTTAGGGGGTGTTAATGAACAACAAATTTATTGTAAATAAATCATGGGAAAAATTTAGAAAAAATTACATTTGATTAGACAAAGAAACTCTCTGCTTTCTCTAAAAGTTTAAGGGGTATAAATTAACACCAAATATGTTTTAAGAAGACTTTAATTTTTTAAGAATTTATTTTCCCCTGGCTAGAAAGTATACACTTTTTTCTCTGGCTTCTCCTGCTGCATTCCCAGACAATCTCCTGCCGTGGAACTGTCGCCACTCTGATCTCCTTTAGCCGCTGTCCAATCCAAGACCTCGACCTGAACGTTCATCTAATCTGTTTGGTGTTAAGTCCAAGGGAGCATATGTAATTCGATTGTTTACAAGCGACTGGCCGCAAAATGCAAAATGCAGAATGCCCAGCAAGGGAGCCAGCGAATTGAATTTATTAAATGGAAGCCGATGTGGCATGTGCTCGGGTGAAATTTCCCCAACTGGGGGAGAGAGAGTGGGAGGGGATCTGTCAATCTATCAGTTTATTAAATAGGGTCCCGCCCGCAATACCCTCCTCTTCCCTTTGGTTCGTCTCCTGGGAATTGTGTCGCTTCCCCGGACGATGACGATGATGACGATGATGGAGGCGTCGTCTGGGTTGTCCTGGAAGATGCGTTTCACTCATATCCGGTTAAGAATTCACACCTCAGATCCAGAAGGGTTTCTCCTAAAGGGGGGACCTGCACCCTCTCTCTCTCTCTTTGTCTCTCTGTCTCAGCCGCCTTGTCCTTATCCAGTTGCTGGTTTGCTGTTGGCGTATTAAGTTTCAAGTCCAAGAAAAGATGTGAAGAAAGAGTGAGAGAGCCGGTCGGAGGTGGGGCTTTAGTAAATGCCAGAAATCTTGCAGATTCGTGGCGTAAAATTATGAAAATTATGTCTGACACATCCTGCTGTCTGCTTAAGGTCTTTGTTTATCCTGGCTGAGCGGCAAAAAAGGAAGCGCCTCCAACACTCCAAACATGCCACAGACAGGTAATAGCGACAGCAACAGGAATAACAACAACAACAGCAACAACAACAACAACACCAATGGAACCGGTGTTATTTGCATAAGTTGCTCGTGTCTCCGATTCCTTTATGCGACAAAGTTCGTTGCTTAAGTCTTTCGTTTTCTGGATTTTTTTGCGACAGCAAGGAAGTCTTGCTCTGTGCCTTTGCTCCTTGTTGGACAATTGAAAGTGAGATGAAGTGAGAACTTGACAGGGTTATATAAAATACGATGTAGATTTTGTATTTATACATTAATATTTGTTTAATTATAATAATAAGAACAGCAATCGTTCTTTAGTTTGTACAATAATCCTAGAAGTTAGTTTTAGTTTGCAAATAGTCCTAGAAGGAAGGTAGAAAGAAACAATACTCTTAAAATAGTTTTAGTACGATATAATTTATGTTTTCTATTATGAAATATAATATAATTATATACTACAAATTAAGGTCAACATTTAATCATCGATTCATGGTCTTCAGTAACTCTTTCTACTTAAAATTAGTTTGGGATTAAACCACCATTGTCTTTATCTTTGCAAGCTCTTCAAATTCGCTTTTAGTTACCTTTTGCAGTTCCAAATTTTCGATCAATTATTTAGTTGGCAATTCATCTTCATCAATTCAATTCAAATTTGCCATCATGGCAACACAATTTTCGGTTTATTTCTGTATGCCAAAACCGCAAATTTCAGGGTCGCATATAATCTATCAGATTCGGCGATTCATTTACTGCGCCCAGTCTGCGCGTTTTGGCCTTTTCTTGGGTCACCGCAGCTAATTGAGTCATAGTCCCAGAGACTCCAGAGCCAGGTATAGGGATGTGACGAGGAATCGGAACCGAAACAGAGTCAGCGGGAGGAACACAACAAACACAAATTAAGTCCAATAAAAGATTCGCGTTAGCCTGGGACACAGAGAGAGAGGAGCAGGACGGGCGAAATCATTAAAAATCAGTAAGAGAGCGACCACAAATAAAATCCATTAGGTGGCAGGTACCATGGCAGCCATGTCGTGCCAGGACGGGATAGCATGCCCCATCATGGTCTGGGAATCTGGCCTGGCTCTCCGCTCAGATTTGTCATTGTTAGAGACGGGTTTCGGATATTCAAAGCTCTGGCTGGGTTGGGCAGTATCTGTATCTGGGGCTATCTGTCGGTGTGTGGGTGCTTTATGGCCAAAGTGTCGCTAATTCCTGGAATACCGATTCAAGGTTAAGCCCATTCATAAGGCACTCGGCGAAACTGGCTCTTGGGAGCTGTGGATTGAGGCTCGAGGAACTGGCTTTGCTTGTGGATGTGGATCACACATTTATGGCCATCAAACGGGCCGCCCAACCAGGGACCACCCACTGGTCGAACCGGGCCTGATCCGGAGCTAAAGTTGCAGTTGCAATCGGCATCAAAAGTGTTGCAATGAGGCATTTACAATAGCAAACGAGTTAATTACCACTCCAGCGGCCCCGACACATGCCTCGACCTTATAGAGGAGAGCCTGCGCCTGTCCAGCCATCATCCCAACTCGGGGGCCCACATGGAGTACATGGAGATGGCGACGTAGCTCTGCCAATCTGCCGCATTGATCGAGCAACCGATCTTCGATTGCGTTCAAGCCTCTCTCCTTCCCAAGACACCTCTTCTCAGCTTTATTTTTATTTCACTTTATTTCGCTTTATTTCACTTTGTTGCTGTTGTTTTCTTGCGCCTGCGCGTGTTCAAATTGTCCAAAGCGTAACAATTTAATATCGTTGTGCCAAAGCCACTACCAAAGCCACATCCAGTGCCAAGTGAGCCGGCGAGAAAACAGCGGCGAACGGCATCTGCATCTGCATAGTCAGAGCCAAACTGCCAGGTGAGGAGTCACTGGGAAAAATGTTCAATAATCTGGTGATTACTCATAGTTTGGAGAAATCTCCCCTTTAATAAAATAATAAAAAGCATTGCCAAATATTACATAGAACCTGAAATAAAACAAAAGAAGTATGTGATAGCTGGGTAATAGAAAATATTTAAGACATTGAAATACTACTAAAAAAAAAAGGGAATTTGTAGGTAACATTGTTTAAAATTGCCAAGAATCCTTAAAAAAACCATTAAATTCATTGAGATTGTTATTAAAGAAGGTACCTTTAGTAAATCTTTAAAGAAAACCAACTCAATAAAGTTCAGAGCACGAGTCTAGCCCAGACAAATCGATATTGTGAAGGTCGTATTATTTGTAACCAGATATAAATATATTAAAATAAGTTCAGAAATATTTCTAGAATGTATTAGAAATATTTAAAGTTGTCTATAGTAATTTAGTAATTTAATTCAACAATGAATCAAAGTAACAATATATCAAGAATTTATAAATTGTCTTGAATCACCTCATTGAGCAATAAAGTCTGCTGTCAGGATTATAGATATTTTCTATTACATTTTTTTAAAATAAATTTAACTATAATATAGAAGTAATAGTTAGAAAATATTTAAGGTAAGGCCTTAAATTTTTTCCCCTGTGTAGATGCACATTAACTGGCGGCTGCATCTTGTTGCTGCCACCGCTCTGCCACTTGCTCGGTTTCGCTGCGGTTCTGCGGCAGCTTGTTTAACGTATCCGTATACGTATTTCGTATTTTATTTAATTGATTTTTCTGCACCGCACATGCATTGGCCATTAATTCATTTATTTATTTAGCGCTCGCCTTCGACACCGGGGCACTTGCAAGGCGGGGAGAATGAGAGGATGGGGCATGGGGGCTAGCGGATGGAGGACGACTCTTGGTGGATTGTCGATGAATTAATCGTGCTTAACACCATTCCTGGCATTTTGTGGCAGTGCCACAGCTCCTAGAACAGATAGCAATGACTCTAGGAGAGAGAGAGAGAGGGAGGGAGGGGATCGGAAGCACTTAGCATTTGTGTATTATGGAGTCCCGATCGGTTGCCAGTATGCATGCGTCATTATCGCGCCTTGCATCATTAATAAGGCCAAAAAGCTGGCGAGACAAAAAGGCCAGGCCAAATCGAAACCGCAGAAAATAAATGTTGATTTCGAGCAGCGCAAAATGTTTTCTGTGTGTGTGTTCGAGAGATCCCCGTTTCGATTTTCGGTTCGGGATCGTCGCAAAATCTTCCGTCAAGGTCAAGGCTACCCGCGATACCGATACGGATACCCCGGGCCGTGCCTCAAAGCGAACCCGATGCCGCTCCAGCGAAGGTGATAAATGAAGTGTCTCCGCGCAAAATGCCCACAAATCACACGAGAGTCAGAGTCAGAATCGGACTCGAAGTCTCTGAGTCCCAGCGAAGTTCAAGTTCGCCTTGAATGCAGGCAGAAACGCAGGCAAAATATTGAATATCAGCTCTAAAAGCATTTCACAATTCTCAGCGCCAACGAGAATTTGCATGGGCATGCCATCCAAGACTTCCAAAATAAATAATGAAATAAAATTTAATGCCTTGATGGTAGTGACTGGCGGCCATGGCAATTTGTAAACAAATTCATTCACTTCAAGACTTGCCTTAATGATTTAACAATGTTTTCATTAACCATGTTTATTTTTGCTATATATTATTGACATACCTTGAGATTATAGTTTGCTATTTACTAATTAGCCATCCTTTAAGCTCTGGAACATAATGTATACGCAGTATATAATATATATACTATATATATACACCAAATTATATAAATTTAAGTGGGAGCTGACAAAAAAAAAAGGAGGAACGACAGAGGGAGACAGAGCGAAAGAGAGACGAAAAATTCCTACTTAAGTGCTTTTAATTATCCCAAAGAATTCCTTGGTATTCTGAGTTTGGTATCCTTGTTTGTCATCATCGTCATACTTGGCCCGTCCCAGGCTGAGGTCTCCACCGGTCTCCTGTCTCCTGTCTTCGATCTCCGGTATACCGTCTCCATTCTGCGGTTCTCCTTCAAATTACAGGCGCGCTTGTATGTCGGCTATTCGGGGTTTTTGTCGTCTGGGTTCGGCTTCGAGTCCAGCCATAAAAGGTGAATAGCAAAGCGATATCTGGCCAGGCAGAGAGCATATGGGGGATCCTATATGCAAGCCCATACATACATATAACATATATCATCCGGGAAAGAAAGGGAAAGTCGCGAGGCGACTCCCACATCCACGAGGAGGAGACCAAGGAAACCAGAAGTCTGATTCATCAGCTGTGCCGGCGATGCGTTTGGGGAATTCACCGATTCGAAGGCGACATCAGCGGGCGGCATCAGTGGCAACGACAGGCACACACATAGTGCGTACTTCCTGGAAACCTATCTCAGTTTTGGCTCTGGACAATTATGAGCCGCCGTTAGAGCCGGGTGCCAGCCACCACTTTCCGCACTCCCAGCCGAGATGTCAATGGAGCGTGCAACTGCCACCGCCGCTTATCGGTGGTTTCTGATTCTTAGCTTTCTCAGGAGAAATGCCAGCGGTGCCAGTGCCAGAGGGAAGGGGTTCCGAAGATCAAGTTGATTGAAGTGCCTTTCGAAGCCGAATACAAACACGCGGAACAGAACGAAAGGCTCTCCTGGAGGAAGTGCAAACACATACTGCATGAAGGGATGCTGCGAAAATATTGTCTTTGCCCTCTCGAATAAGTCCTTCCATCTCGCCCTTAAACTGAGAGCCAAAAACGTAAAACTGATAACTGAAAACCATAGAAAAACTGCGCGACCAGCACTTCATTGGCCAGAAACACAGGCCAGGGCCAAAATACACACAGTGCCAAGTGCCTGGTGCTCGACACGAGGATGCTGCATGGATCTGGAGGACGCCAGATGGAGGACCGAGGACCGAGGACCGAGGACTGAGTACCGGCGACTGAAGATCGAGGATCAAGAACCGAGGATAGCGAATGGCGGATGGATGGGCCCCCAGCCAAGATCTGCCAAGTCAGCGTGATCTGCGCAAAGTGACGAGTTTTTAATGAATTTGTTTAACTCAGGTCAGGCCCTGGCACCTAATACGAGTGCATTTGAGCCATCCAGCTCTGGCTCTGGCTACGATTCTGATTCTGACCCGAAACAGTGGCTTGTAACTCTTGAAAATGGATGGGAAATTATTTTATACATAGAATCATTTAATTTGCTTGGTAAAAAATTCATAGAGTTACCTTTGTCGTTTTATAACGAGAGCCAGAGGGGTTCTATTTAGGAAATAATCTTCTACGATACAATATTTTGTGATTTCTTGAACAGTTACTAATTTGTTTCAAAAGGACCTATCTTAACTCTTTGTAGGGTCTGTAATACATGGCTGTTGAATCTTAAACTTGGTTAATTTGGAGTTAAACACTAGAGAAATGTATCCTTTTTATTTTATATCTATATCTTAAATCAAAAACCACTGTGCCGTAGCGTCTGTGGAGATGCTTGAGCAGACCCCATCAAAGTTGATGGCGCGACAGTCGAGGTCGCTGCCGCAGTCCGTGGCAAGTGGCGATGATGGGGATGTGGATGTGGATATGGATGTGACTGCGACTGTGTCCATGACGGGGGATGATGCGGTTGATGCCGAGGCTCAAGTGTGCCTGCGACTAGTCCTAGGATCTGTGTGGAGATGAGGATGAGGATGGAGGCGCTGACGGCCCGTGACGATATCTGAGTGCGAGGTGCAAGGAAAGCAGATACACTGGATGGTGGATGGTGGCTTGGTGGCTTGGTTGCTTGGTGGATACTGGGTGCAGTGAGTGAGTTCCTGCCTCTTGAGGTCGTCCAAGTCGTCATCGTCAGCGGCGACGCCAGCGTCTGGGTCTAGGATGAGTGGTCTGGAATCTAGTAGAGCAAACAAAGGCAGCAAAGGCACTCGAGTTCCATCCAGTTTCCGACTGTCCAAGGCGATGGCGGAGCACCAGCAGGAGCAGGAGCAGGAGCAAGAGCAAGAGGGTTTTAGGGGAAGGAGCATCTCATGTCCTTCACAGTTCACTTTCGTTGACCACGAGGCGATGTCCGCTTGATACATTTGCCGAGGTCTTTTTACTTCATTTTTCCGCTGGCTGCCTGCCCTCTGTGTTTGCTCCTCTTGTGTTCAACAAAATGTTCCAAATTGTTGCGCACTGCAAGCATCCCTGGAATTTGCGCTTAACAAACTTCGGCAAATGTTTTCCGTTTCAGTTTTTACACTGAGGGGAAAAGGTAGCCAGGACTGGGAAATAAACAATGTTAAAATCGAGGGAAAGAAATCGAACAAAAAGGGAATTATATCAAGGAAGATATTATGGTTAAATAATTTTCCTTGGCTTTAATTATTTTCTCTTAACTTTTACCTTTGTGAAGAAGTATTAATTATTTCCTTGACTACATTTTACTGACTCTCAGTGTGTTTCTTGGTTTCTTTTTACTTAATTTTGAGGTTCTTTGCCTGTTCTTTTTGCCTGAAATTTATACGCAGCCTGCAAATAATTAAAACGAGAGCTGAGAGCCGCCGCCAAGTGTCTTTTGTGCGTGTGTCTGTGTTTCCCACAACGAAAGACTTAGGCAACGAACTGGCCAGGCAACGGGCCATCAACAACAGAGAAGACAGGGCACAGTTACACGGCCGTCCCCCTAATAGATCATTATTCAAAGAGCCAGAGCTGTCAGGTATTTGTTTAATTCGATTAACCCTGGGCCCGAGTATACATAACTATAACTATAACTATAACACAGCGTTTCGAGTCGCCTCGCCTCGCCTCGATGGGTTCCCACCATATTGGCGAGAGTCAGTCAGTCCGAAGTTAGTCAGAAATGAAATCTATAAAACAAAGCTCCAACGAGTTCCAATTTATCATCGCGGCAGACATTAATTTTACACACACTGAAGTCTTGGAGTCTCTGAGCTTGAGCTCCAGCCACCCGGTTGATTTCATGCCTCGAAACGAGCCACAAAAATTAATGTTAATTAATTTGACTTAAACTGACGATTTCAACAGACACATTACTGCGGGGCATATGGCAAATAAAAGGCCACAGAAAAATAGCGACAAATCAAAATGGGGACCAGCGTTTGTTCGAGCAGCGAAATAACCCATTGATGGAGCTCGATTGATAATGCTCGTCGATCCCACTTAAAAGCTTTTCACTCTCTCAAAAAGACATCAAATCCGAATGGCGCATAATTAACTTGTGCATTTGTGGGCTGCAGAGTGGGAATCCCAAGTTGGATCCCCACTTGGATTTTAATATGTTTGTGTTTGCTTGCCGCCGCTCGAACGTTGCAAATTCAATTAGGTTCGAACATGCTCTCACTTTATTAAATTAAACTGCACCCGAAAAAATCGTGAGCCCAATTCTGAGTCAAAATCAAGCTCTGGTTCTCGTTCTCGCTCATGTCTTCTCTTCTGCTGCTCTCTCTCTCTCTCTCTCTCACTCAGACACCGAAGAATGCAGCGGCCCCAAGTTGTTGTTATCTTCGTTTCTGGTCTTTGCAATTCTTCCGAGACGAGGCTCCGAAGACGAAGACGGAGACTCCTCGCGATCGGAGGCTCTGTCCTCGGGCCCCGAGTAGAAATTCTCTAAACACGCTGTCAAGTTATGTCTACATTCCTTGATCATATTTTTTCCAACTGTTTTCATACCCGCTACTCCTGGCTGTGTCATGGGGTATATCGATTCAATATATGCCAAGAAATATATACACATTTATTACTAACTCTGAATGGATTTTCGTGTTTATTTAGCATATCAATGCAGGGCGTTTCAAAAGCTTTTAAAATAAATATTGATATTCGTGCCTGGGTCTCAAGAGCATTATTATAATTTTCGTATCACTCTGAAAACGGTTTCATATCAATTTTATGCCTAGGTCTTCCATATAATGGGCTTTTAAGTCTCAAATTATGGGTTCCAGACCGTAAAAGATAAGGGTAGGCTGATCTCTTAAAGTGTCCATTTAATCAGAGGAAGTGTATAGTTATGAGGCGGTGTGAAAGCGAGATTTATTTGCAAAACTTGATATGGTTTTCTTAGGAGTTTTAAGATATTATAAAATATATAGGATGTTGACTGTTCGATCCATTTTTGATTATTTTGGTCTTTCCTTTTTCGTCTGCCTTCGTTGCCTGGGTATTTCATTAGTTTCTGAAATGCTCTCCCTTCGTTTTTGTCCCCTGAATGATGATGATGATGATAATCCTTTTGAGCTAAGGATCTCTCTTTCACTCTCTCTAATTTTCTCACACTTTGTGCGGAAGTTTTATTAAAACCATGTGGATATTATAGAGCTTTATGTGTAATAATTCACATATGTATTGGATAAATATTTTAAGATATCTTCTATTATTGTGTCATTTACAAAAATATACTTTAACCTATGCAACTTTCTAGTTTAAGGTAATGAAACCTGATATTCCATAATTCTTTTCAGGTATATTTCATCAATTTGTCATCAATTCAAAAATGTTTTTTATATTGATTTATGTTCAAGTCATTGATTAATTTAATTCAATGATTTTTTCTCGGTAACTTGATACTTCAACTGTTGTGACAACTCTTTTAATTTTGTATATTTTTCAATTTTAGTGATTTACTATACCCCTGAAGCGCAAAATAATAAAATTATAATAAATTTTATTCACTTTCCGAGTGTAAAAATCAAGAGTTAACTCAATTTTAGGATGTTTTGCTTGAGGAGGAAGTGCCTTAAAGTAATCGTGGCTTCTTAATGTGGCGCAGTAAACGTGCCTTGGTGAGCATAAAGAAATCAACAACAACAACAAATGAAAACTGAGCTCCCAAAAGCCTCCCACAGAATGGGATCTCTCTCTCTCTCTCCCTCTCTTCGTATCGATCACCTCTTTTCTCTCTCTCTCTCTCCTTATTGAGAGATCGATTTGAGTGAAATTCGAAAAATGAGTGAAGTGATCTCCGGCTCTTTACATAGCATATTATACATGAGTCTCTACTTGGGGGGAAGTAAAATTCCGAGCACGTGAATTTCTAATTGGTTATAGATCGATTCACCTGAATAGGCCTTTAAATCGAAGCGTACTTATCTGATCTGTCATTGAAAATTACCCATTAAAGTGTTCCAGAACAAATACTTGATGGATTAATAGACCTGTCCGCAGTTGTAGTTTCGAAAATGTATCGAAACAGCGAACTCTTCGGAGCCCTGGCTCTCTTTTTGTGGATTTTATTCGCCGACGGGGAAGCGAGAAAGGTTTGATCAGATATTTATTTCCACTGGATAAATATATAATCTTTAAAACACTTGTTTAATCCTTGCTAGAATATCGTGTTCAATTCCATTGAATGCTCATTAAGAGGCAAGGTCTTCTCAAAGATAGATTGCCAGCGGGCCTCTCAGCAGACCTTGAACATCGACATAACCATCGGTGATCAGCCGGCGGACAATATCTTTGGAATTTGTGAACTGACGGTGGTCCCCAAAGGACAGCGAAAGACTATGCCATTGAAGGACTTTAAAATGGACTTTTGCCACCTGAAAAGGAACTCGAAGGCAAAGTCTATGCTGGGCAGCTACTACAGGGCAGTGAACAGATCGGCGGTAATGCCTCCCGGCGATTGCCCCTTTAGCAGCGTGAGCATTCATGTACTTTACATGTCTTTAAAAAACTATATCCCCTATTACTTCTCCGCTAGAACACCAATATCCTGTTAAGAGGACTAACTATAGAACAGGATATTCCTCAATTTATGCCAGAAGCAAATTACACCTTCAAGGGAAAGTATTATGCCAACAAAGAGCTTGGATTAGTGATGAAGATTACAGGGGGGTTTTATATAAATGACAGCAATTCCACCATATGAATGGTGAAGTTTACAAGAATATATTTGTACTTGAAAGATTTAATATCTAGAACAGAACAGATTACAATTAAAATAAAATGCATTTTGGTTACAACCTTATTTTTTAGAGAACGTTAAGGCTATGGTTATTTAAGTAATTCAATTCATAACCAAGAATATATTATAAAGAATTGATGACTATTATATTAGTTATCTAAACTAATTGCTAGATTAAGAAATTATTCTAATGGTAATACTTTAAACTTTATACTTGTTGCTATTTATTCTTTGTGACCCCTCCCAACATTAACAAGATACAATCCTTTTTTATAAAGCGACATTTATCTAATGTTTAGCTGTTACTAACATGAAATAGTTCATGTTTAAGCATAAATTTATGCATTTCAAAACTATTCTTGAGCTAGCCAAGATAGATTATATGCTCTCAAAAGGTGAGCTCAAGAAGAGAGATCTACTCAAAGAGCTGATCTCTCTCTTTCTCTCATTCGTTTTCACTCAAAAACCGGCAAGCAGGTAAATACAGGTAGAGAGAGAGCTCCGCCGCATGTCTTTAACTAAGCCCGGCGAGAGCTCGGTGGCAGTCAGTCTGTTAGCAAAACTCGAGCCGAACGGTACGCAGGCGCGCAGTTGCACATCCGTACATCCGTGCACCCGTGCATCCGTCAGATACAAAACCGAAGCGAAGCACTCAAAGCTCTCGAAACAAACCAAAACTAACTAACTAACAGTAGTGCGGCTAAACTAAACTAAACAAGCGGCCAGAACCAAAACCCAAACCCAAACCCAGTGCGAAACCTCGACAAACGGACAAGGAGTGAAACATATCGAGGCAGAAAATACATAAAGCGGAGGCATAAAAATTCCTCACATCGCTCGGTGTGCGGACAAAAAGCCTAAAATAAAACACAGCCAGTCGGCTGGCGGAGGTGCGAGACAAGAAATTAAATTGATAAAGCCTAAAAAGCCACGTTCCTAGGACCAGGCCCAGAGAGACCCAAGACGGCGAGGACAGGGCCCAAGACCGAGCATTGAACACTGAACACTGAACACTGAAAACCGAACACCGAACACCGAACACCGAACACCAAACCGAAAAACCCAAGACCCTGGCTGCTCTGTAGAAACTTGTCGCGCTGTTTGCTCTTCGCGGGCAATTATCGGGCGGATCGGGATCCGGGAATCTGGGAATTCGAGTGCGAATCCAAGTGTGTCCAGTGTGTCCAGTGTGTGTTTGTGTGTGTGCGGCGAGGTGGTGTGGCAAATAGCTCAAAGCCACGAAAATTGCTTTTATCGGAGAACCGAAATCGCCATTTGCTGAGAAATTAAAAACACAAAAAGAGAAACTGTTGCGCTAAAGGGCCAGCAAAAAATAATAATATATATATATATATATATATTAACCCGGCGGGCCTGGCCAGCAACAAACAAAACAAACAAACAAACCAACGGCCAGCAAAAATGTATAATAAAAAATTACAGCAAGTGATCGTGCAGAAAATAGATCGATAAACCCCAAGCCCCAACCCAAAACCGAACTCGAACCCCGAAAAGCTAAGCTAAAGCTAAGCAAAAAACCAACAAACATAAAAAATAAAATAAAAAAAGTGTAGAGACGGAAAACGCGGAGTATAAAAATAAATAAACGAGCGACGATCAGCGAGCGATCAAGGAGCTATAGCAACTATATGTAGCATCTATAGCAGGAAGAGCACGTTTCTGTGTTTTTGTTTCAATTTCAATTGTGGAAATCGTAGAGGAAAAATTTCGAACCGGTCCCCCGAAGTAGGAGTTGGAGTTCGAGTTGGAGTCGCCAGCAGAGGATCAAGAACCGAGAACCCAAAGCACCGCGTCCCGAGAACCGATATTTATTAAACAAAGACAGAAATTAATTTCACGACTTTGTGCCCCCTCCGCCAGTGTGCCCTGCATCCGCCCGCCCTCCATGCCCCACTTGAACTTTGAGCCTGAGGTCTGGGCTTGAGCAGCGCGGCAACTAGGGATCGGGATCTTCGGCTCGCCGGCAAAATGTACGACATCAAGCGCCTGGAAGCGGGACAACAGAAACTACAGCAACAGCACCAGCACCAGCATCAGCATCAGCACCAGGGCCTGGGCCTACGCCAGGAGCAGCAGCTCACCTGCAGCGTGATCGCAGCGCCCGAGCACCGGAGCACCCATCCCATCACCATCTCCAGTCCCAATCCCAGTACCTGTTCCAGTCCCAATCCCAGCGAGGCCACCCACATGACGCTGCTAACGTTGCGCCGTCGCCGTTCGCTGCAGCGTCGCGCCTGCCTGCTCAGCATCCTGGCCGCCTTCGTTTTTGGCATGGCGCTGGGCGTGGTTGTGCCCATGTTCGGTCTGCCCCACCACCCAGAAGTCCCGTCAGAGACGGCAACAGACTCGCCAGCGGAGCAGCTGAGTAGCTACCGCGTGGCATTCATCATGGAGGAGGATGCCGCCGCCGCCGCTGCTGAACTCAGTGCCGAGCAAGTTTTCCGCAACGCCTTCCACCTGGAGCAGGACAAGGATGCCCCCGATTCGATGGTGGTAAAGAAGTTGGATACCGATGATGGCAGCATCAAGGAGTTCCATGTGCAGCGCACGGCCAGCGGCAAGTACCGTAAGGGGCCGGAGCGGAGACTCTCCAAGAAGCGGCCGCATCAGCCGGAGACGCTTCGTTCGCCCGCGGTAGCCGCCTCACCGGATCCCCTGCAGGCGGGCCTCATCGAGGAGGATGTCTTCTGGGGGCCCACAGTGGAGCGGGCTCTGCCCAGGGGATTTGCCTCTCAGGATCAAGTCAGCTGGGAACGCTTTGTGGGCGAACAGGGCCGTGTGGTGCGTCTGGAGCAGGGATGCGGACGCATGCAGAACCGCCTGGTGGTCTTTGCCGATGGAACACTTGCCTGTGCCCGCTATCGCCAGAACACGGATCAGATCCAGGGCGAAATCTTCAGTTACTACCTTGGTCAGCTGCTGAATATTAGCAACCTGGCTCCAAGTGCCGCCACCGTGGTGGATACCAGCACGCCCAGCTGGGCGGCTGCCATCGGTGACATCACCCAAGCCCAGTGGAAGGAACGCCGCCCGGTGGTGCTGACCCGTTGGCTCTCCGACCTGGAGCCGGCCGGCATTCCGCAGCCCTTCCAGCCGCTGGAGCGGCACCTTAACAAGCACGACGTTTGGAATCTGACGCGGCACCTAAGCCAGGAGGCAGAGCAGCCAGCCAGAGAACCGGAACAGGGACTGCTCAAGCGGTTGGGAGCAGGGATGGGGCCAGGACCAGCATCAGCTGCCAGCTCGCCGGGCTCCGCTCATCAATCAAGCACGATTGAGGAGACAGGAACGCTGGTGCAGCGGCTAATTGAATTGGCACAATGGTCCGATTTAATCGTCTTCGATTACCTGATCGCGAACCTCGATCGCGTGGTGAACAACCTGTACAACTTTCAATGGAACGCCGACATTATGGCCGCGCCGGCGCACAATCTCGCTCGGCAGTCCGCCTCGCAGCTGCTCGTCTTCCTGGACAACGAGAGCGGCTTGCTCCATGGCTACCGGCTGCTGAAGAAGTACGAGGCCTATCACAGTCTCCTTCTGGACAACCTGTGCGTCTTCCGGCGACCCACGATCGAGGCTCTGCGTCGTCTGCGGGCGGCGGGGGCAGGTCGCCGGCTTAGGGATCTGTTCGAGAGGACGACCAGCGCCGGAGTGAGAGATGTATTGCCCTCACTGCCGGACAAATCGGTCAAGATCCTGGTGGAACGCATTGACCGAGTGCTAAGCCAGGTGCAAAAGTGCCAGGGAAGCTAGTAGATGCCCCTAATAACCCTCAACTTGACTGATAAGCTGTAAATATTGGAGCAGCAGTGGATGCCCTGGATCGGAGTCGGAGTAGTCAAGGGGTCAGGGGTTAGGGCAGGCTCAAGGTCAACAGATTTGTTATCAAAATTGATTCCCGAAAAGGAAAAAGGGTATTTGCTTACTCCTCTAAAAACAAAATCCTTTCTAAATCAACTAATTACTATAAAAAGATAGCCTGCCCACCCCTGCCCCAAAGTAGATCCAAGTATTAAAGGGCGATCCACTGAAGAAGCTTAACTAACTTGTAAATGCCAGACTCTGTCCTTGAGTATTAAGCTTAAACCTTAGTTGTTAAATGTATCTGTATAAAAAGTAAGGCCCCATAGAATTAACAATTTGTGTGATATTTGTGTAAGGAACCCCATGCAGCCTAAGTAGATTTCATTTTACCATTACAACCAATAAACAACAAATATACCGAATACCGAACGAAATGCGCCAACCGAATGTCACATTGAAATATGGAAAACCATCCAACAGATGCAGATGCAGATGCAGATACACGAGTATCTGAGCACGCCTGCGCCTTGTGAGAACTTACATAGTCATGACAATAAATTGTCATTGATCTTTTTTTGCAGGTGAGATGGAGATGGAGCAGGAGATGGAGATGGAGATGGAGATGGAGATGGAGCTGGAGCTCAGGCTGGAGTTTCAGTTGCCCGTCTGTCTCCCTCCCTCCATCCCGGCATTTGTCAACTTGCCGCTGCCCCGATGGAACTTGCCACATAATGCAGGCTCCACTTCTAGATACTCGTACCACACTCATACCAAAAGCCACAAGTTGGAGTTGGAGTTGGAGTCTTGTGCTGCTTTTCATAATATCTTCATAAGCATTTGAGAGATGCTGCTGCTGCCTCTCTCTCTATCTCTCTGTCTCTTGCTCTCCAGAGGCTCAAGTGCAGCAGGAGAAAGATGAAGCCGCCACAGACACAGCCAGAGCCAGTTCCAGATACTTTCCACAAACACAAGCTCACCTGCCCATGCTGGGACCGAGCGAGATACACAGACGCTCTCGTGGATACACAGACGACGTCTCCATCTCTCATCCCTCCTGCTCTCCGCTCCCGCTCCCGCTCCCCCGACCGTGTGTCTGACTTTAAGATTTAAGATCGCTGCTCATTAAGTGCGTCCGCGTGTCTCAGCGACAAGATGCTGAGAATCTCTTACTCACCTCCCTCCCCAGTCGCACGTTTTGCATCTGATTTTGCTGCGTATATTTTATTGGACACCAGAGTAGTTCACGTAAATAAAAATGAAATGCACCAAGGCAAGTGAAGCTGTGCCCGACACGCAGAGAAATGGGTATAAAAATTGGGAATATCTTGTAAATATCTAAGGAATGTTATAAATATTATGATATGGTAAAGAAAAGATGAAGGAAAACCAATTATTATTATCTCCTGATTTGTATTATTTTCATAACCAAGGAGTGTTATCACATATAGGAATCACATATGGGAATATAGGCTCTTTATTTAAGAAATTCTACTGAATATCTCTTAATTATAAAGATATTAAGGTATCAGTACCTTTTCTAACTTATCTAACTATCTTATCATTTTTCAATATATTACTCTCCAAGATATATTCTCTTTCTCTGAATGATAGAGACTTATAGATACCCAAGATTCTTTCTCTGTAGATGAAAATACACATGGTGAGAAGGAGCTGGGAAGTGGGTCTAGGAGATTGGGGACCTGGGGATAGTTATCCCCGTGTGCTAACTACCAAAAAATGTGGCTCGGCCGAGAGTTAATCAACTCACGCCTGAACAGAGCACAGATATTTTGATAACCCGTTTCGGACGCGACAGATAAAATATCTTCATATCGCCGAAGAAGCTTCAGGGAGACAGAGAAAGAGCAGGCAGGAGAGAGAGAGAAAGAGCTTGAGAGCTGCATAAAAAATCGTTCGGCTAGTTTAATAAATATATCAAATAACCTAAAGACGTGTTAGGGAACTTGTGACTTTAACACGTTCACAGGCCCGGCCGCAAAACTCATTTTCGAATATCGTCTTACCTTTTCGGTTCGCTCCGGGCCGTACAATGTATCTTGCAGCGACTCGGGGCTCTCTCATCTCGGAATGAAACCATAATAAAACAATATAATTGAGATGGACGGAAGAACGTACGTATACGTATAGAGCAACCTGAGACCTCGGCCGCAGCATAGTCCGCGGGAGGAGATCGAGATCTGGTCTGGTCGCCCACCAACCGAGTCTTTGTTTACAGTTTACAGTTTACACGGTTTATGGCCAAAACTGCAAACGCCAAACAAATGTGCCAACATTGACGGCGGGGCTTTATGAACTTATTAATGCTGGCGAATGAAACCGAAACGCTTGATGGCTGCCCCATAAAACGGCCTCGAGGGCCCCATAAAACGTAGTGCCACTAATGCTAATCCCCAACATACAATTGCCGATCGTAGAAAAGCGTTGAAGTGCGTAAAGAATCCCTCGCTCTGATCCAAATCTTGGGTTATATGAGCACTTAAATGGGTTCTAGTGAGATGGTGGGATCTTGAGAAGAATGATTTCCATTGATCTTTGGTCCATGCAAACAGATCCTAAAAATTTAATGGGGTTCGTAACTAATTCAGGGTGATAAATATTCTATTGTTCAGCGAAGAACAAAATACATTATGTTGTAAGTTTTGTGTAATAGAATAGAAACCTTTTCACTTTTGGATTAATGTCTTTAATTGTTATTATCATTATAAATGTATAACTATAGATAAATAGATAAATTTATTTATTTTATATCGAGAATTATTGGTAAAGAAATAATGTTCAAGCAAAACGCCTTCTCTTTCCTCAGTAAGTTAGGAGCTTCTTATAAATGCATCTATATAACCATATTTACGCTTGATTTTATAGTTAAAAACGGGTTCATATTTATTAAACTGTATCGATCATAAAAGATTAAAAGTCATTTCAAACACCTTTTTAGTATCTGCACAAATAATGACACAACAAGATCCCCAAGAACTGTGAAAGCAAAGATAGCACTGTGAGCAAGTCACACACACACAACATTTGTTTGGTCAGACCACATATGATTAGCATATGTGGGATATCCTGGAAATTCCTGCACACTCGCTCGAACTAATTTCCGACCATAAAAGTTTCAAGTTCGAGCCCATATATCTCGCCAGTAAGTTGACTCGGGCCCGGCCAATACATCCTGGCTAGTTGCGCGGCAATCAAGTCGTTGCTTCAGTTTTCCTGACTGCCTGGCAGGGCAAACAAATCTGCCAGTTCTCCTGGTTGTTGTTCTTGTTGCTGGAGTCTGGAGTTTGGAGTTTGGAGTTTGGAGTCGGAGTCGGGGTCTGGAGCTTGGAGTCTGAAGTCTGTTGGCGTGGTCGCTGTGTGCACAATAATTTGCATATTTGTATGCTCACCAGTACCAGTACCATAAGCGCCCAGAGTCCACTATATGGCATGGCAGGGCATGGTATGGTATATGGAGTCGGGCCGCGTTGTTGCATGCAATATTTTCTCGTGTTGTGTGTGTTTACTCTTTTCGCTTTTATTTAATGTCCGCACTGCCTCTCAGCAACTTGTAGCAGTTGCGTTGGCCATTGCTGCGTTTACAGCGAAAATTCTAAACAAATTGCTTCCGCACCTGCAGCTACGTAAGAGCTATAAGAGGTACATGTATGTATGTATATAAAAAATCAATGCACCGGCGACCTGGAATCATACGGAGGCACAGTCAATTCCTTTGTGATTCACATAAAGGGAGACATTGTGCAGCGGCAACACCTTGCTTTTGCGCCATCAAAATAAAACATTTTCCACTCGTGAAGAGAAAGCCCAGAGCGGGTGAATCGAATCGAACTGAATCACATCATATCGTAATCATAATCCTGACAAAGGTCCCGAACAATAACCAAGGAAAGGGAGAGTTCTCGAGTCGAATCGCGCCTCGCTTTTCTTCTTCTCGGCTAAGTGCAAGAAGCCCTTGGGGGCTTAGGGCATGGGGGAAAATTATATGGAAAAAGGTTTCCAACTGAAAATTTATGGTCGGCACTTTTGGGATCTGATGAAAAACCTTCTTTCATTTTACACCTGAAAAGCAGCATAGCAGATATCGGTGGTAGATGGGCGAGATGCTTAACTGCCTTTTCTTGGGAGTCTCCTCTTGTTAACATTGGCTCGGAAAAGAAGAAAGAGATGATGGGGGATCGATAGGCCCAGCGATAGGCAAATGGTCCGATAGTCTTCTAACTCTTCTTCCAGCTAAAACATAACTTTTGATTTTAGTCGCTGAGCTGAGGCTGGGTCTGTAATTTTGGGAGTCATTTAACGATTTCGCTGATTAATTTAACAAAGCCGGTCAATGATTCTGTCGTTTTGACATTGACGAAGTGCCGAAATTTGTCTGGGTCTGTTCTGATCTATCAGACATGGCATCATTGGGCACTGGCTATGCTCCGACTCGCTCGCTCTATCTATCTGCATCTCGGGGTAACCTGTTTCTGGATGGCTGCTGTTGCTCTCTCGCTTTTCGGCCGAATCAGGTGAAGTGAGTTGATTGATTGCGCTAATTTATAACGACAATGGGTCAGATCGCACATGGGACCTTTGAGCTTCATCCCAGCAGCCACGCAGGGGAGACCCACGGAGAGCAAGAGACGCGGTCGGCTGGAATCCATTAAACATGGCCCGGACCTGGGTCCAGCTTCTGCCTGCCTGCCTGCCTTTCTGCCTTGATGATGATGATGCGAGCGGCTCGCTGATGAATGAATCTTTTCAATTTGGAAATTTTCAAACAAATTTGTCAAAAACGCACAAGAAAGAGAGGCCAAGACAAAGAGAGTGAGACAGTGCGAGTGCGTTATGCAAACTAATGAAATCTCAAGTTCGTTGCCCAGGTCTTTTGTTCTTCAACATGCATTTCCCTAGTTAATTGCTCGTGATTGAATTATAAATGCACGCAAACCCTTTCTCGCAGCTAATGTGCAACATAATAATACGATTCAGCTGCTCATCTAACCGAATCAGACATGCCTTGCCCCAAATCTGAGGCATCTCTCTTCTCGTCTCTTCTCGTCTCGTCTCGTCTCGGCGCGCATCATTTCATAGAAACCATTCGAATATCATAAATTATAAAGCCTACGAGCCGAACTAGTCTAAGAAGGAAAGCGGCTTCAGTTCTGGAAATCCCAAAAAAGAAACAAAAATAAAATAAATGGAAACTCAAAACTGAAATCGCGCTGCGGCCGGAGACAAGCTTTAACACCTCGGCTCAAGTCAAGCATTTGTTGTTAAACAAAGACGAAGAGGGTCAACTACGGACTCGCAGACGAGTTTAAGGCAGTCGCAACGGGGAGCGGGGGAGCGGGGGAGCGGAGGAACGGGGGGTAGAAACAAAT